TTTACTGGCGAGTCGGTTGAAACATGTGTAGAGTCTCTTCGCCAGTTGTGCTTACTGTTTACGGTACTTACTGGGTTGGTTGCCTACTGGGAAGCTTCCATTTTGAGCTTCATTGTCTATTATACACGCTATGATTGTGTTCAGGGTTAACTTTTCTGTTCGTCTTTTCTCTTCCCTTACGTATGGTCTGAATGTCTATGCATGTTTTTGACTTCGTGTCAACTTTGCTCTTCATTGCTTTGATGGTTTATCTGTCACTGCGGCTTCCACGTTTGAACCAGCGGGGGGACGTTCACCCCGACTGCGTGACTACGCATACCTTGCTCTCCTTGCCCTCCCTGGTACTCCTTTCCTTTCCTTTCCCTTTCTCTTGCTTCGTCTATTGCCTTCGTAATCCCATTGGGTTAGGGCCTTTGAGCCCTTATATTCTGCAGGACGGATTAGTCCTCTTCTTCATCTTCTTCAGAGTAAGCATGTATGGTGGGGGTGTATGCCATCATTGCCAGCTTCCTGATCATTTTGTGTGTGATTGCGAATTGAGAGGTATTCTGAATGCGGCAAAGTTAGTAGCTGGAAGAGGTGATGCCGGGGCACAACTTCAAGTAACGGGTTATTACTTGTACCTGCCTCTAATGCTATTGTCCCCTATCAGGGTGCTAACAACACCCAGGATTCCAGGAGCTGTAGTTATGGGCGTGGTGGCTATAATAACTACAATAACTACGGTCAGCAACACTATTTGCAGTCATGGAACGGGCATTATGGTCAATATGGTCATAATGGAGATAGGGACAAAGACGAGAAGTTTGACAAGATGTACGGTCTCCTGGTATGGCAGTTTCAGGAGCGGGAGGCAAAAAAGAGGGAAAAGCAGTTGGCGAAGAAAGTTGAGGAGGATAACAAGAAGCAGCAGGCGGAAAAGAAGGAGAAGGAGTCCCATGACATGGCTATGGGACACCTTGTGAGGGACAACATGAAGGTTATATGTGAAAAAGTCCTTGGGAGGAAGGTTGATTTCCCTGAAGAGGGCGACTCGGAGGTCTGTAGATTGCGAAGGGAGTTGGAAGAACTCAAGGCTCAACGTTCTGGAAGAGAAGGAGACTACAACTTAGAAAAATTAAAGAGAGAGCGTGAAAAATTAAGAAGGAAGCAAGAGAGACTGAAAGAGGAAGCCAAGTTGAAGAAAGAAATTGAAGAGCTTCGAGGTGGAGGTAGCCAGTCTAACTGGGCAACGACTTCCAATGAAAAAAATCTGCAGGAGATTGCTTCGTTGAAGAAGCAGATCGATGAGCTTAAGTTGTTCCGTTCTGCGGTGGAAGAATAACGAGATGGTGTTACTTAAAGAGGAGAACTCTAACTTTAAGAAAGAATTCAGACATATGAGAGACGAGATTGGGGAGATGAAATTCAACAAGAGATCGGCGGAGGCAGTAATTGAGAAGAGCCCTCCAGTTGAACCAGCTCATGGGACGACACGGGCTGAGAATGCTACTCGGCGATGTACACACCGTGACACCGAAGGATATGGAAGTTCTTCAAAAAGTGTACAAGGATGCCCTTGCCAGCAAGCAGTGGGCATAGGACGAGGTGCGAATGCTCAAGGAGCGTTTCGGGAAACGATCTGCCGCAAGAATCAAGCACGCTAACTTGGTAAGAAGATCCACGCCGCGTAATCTCAAGAAGAGTCTAAGGAAAGCTGATGCAGACGATGATGTCCTAGAAAAGGCGAACTCAAATATGGAACAGGAGGAGGAGCCTCTACAACGTAAGCAGCGGTCATCTGATCAAGGAGAGGACGTGGATCAGGATCGGTATCGTAAGATGCTGACAGCAAAACGGAAGGAATTGAAGCCAGCGAAGAAAGGTGAGGTGGAAATCATGTGTGAGGAAGTGAGGATCACTTATAAATTATATCAACCTTTTTTTTTTTTTTACCTGTGATAGTGGTGTTGATAAGAGCAGACACCAGTACCACTCGGGAAGTCGGGGAGGGGCTCCATCTATTGGTGGGGAGCATCACCTGTTGGAAAACGGGTCTAGCGTCCCATGGACAAAATTGTCAACAGAGGATCTTCAGAAAAAAACCATATTGAAGACACCTGCCAGCATTGATTACCCTGAAATACAGGGGATTGACTGAGCAGGATTTGGAAAATAAAACTTAGAAAAATTTCTGGATAGAAGCCTGCTCCGTCTGTAGTCGAAAACCTGTTGTCCTTAATCTGCAGACACCTTGGGCCTTGCATCATTGTAGAAACAGCAACCCTTATGCAAGGAGATACCTGAGTGTCGTGTCTGGATGGTGTCTGTCAGCGTCGATTGCTTTGGAGCCCAACTGATTCTCTTCGCCCTCACCTTCAGCAACCCTCTTGCAGAACAGGACACGGGGAGGAGCCACTGGGGGGCACCAGTGGGGCCTCCTTCCGTTCCCCTGCCCTTCCTCAACTGGTCCCCTTACCCCTATACTTGTCCAGCTAGACCCCCAAAACAAAAGGAACAGGAAAACAAGGTAGAATCAAGTTGGGTTCATAAGGGTTGTGTCATAGACACAATTCCAATGACCATGGGTGAGGGCACTGAGGGGGAAAGGGGTCCGGGATCTCTTCTGCGGGTCTCATGGGGACGCTCGAATCTATCAGCAGCCAGTCCTTGAATCTCAAACGCTGTGTGTCCTATGAATGGAGAACGGGCGAAATTCAACGCCGTTGAACCCGTTCAACGGGCCTGGGGTCCCCGTTAAATCGCGTTTAACGCGAAAACGGGGGTGTTCCGTTGAATTTTAAAAAACGGAACCGGCGAGTTGGGCCTCGTACACGTGGCCCTACGCGCCCAAACACTAAATACAAGAAGAAAAATAAAATTTGACCCCTGCTAACAGGGTGGGGTGGCCAAACATGCCCCTCCCTCCCGAAATTCAAACAGAAAGAGGGAAAAAAAGTTAGCCCAAACACTAACAACTGTCTCTTATACACATCTAGATGTGTATAAGAGACAGACATTACTACGTAAATTAATTTATCCGCAAGGAAAAGGGGAAAAAAAAATTGACCCCTGCTAACAGGGTGGGGTGGCCAAACATGCCCCTCCCTCCCGAAATTCAAACAGCAGGAGGAAAAAAAAGTAATTGCCACCCCATACCCCAAGACTGTGAGCACATGTGTTTGCACGTGGGTGCAGCTGCAATGTAGTCATCCAGTCTCATTTCCGAAGGGTTCCACCGGATTAGCAAGGGACCTTCGTGGAGCAGCGACTTAGAGACTGTCTCTGTGGCCCGAGAATATATAGTCTGGATTCGAATTCAGGTTTGTGCAGTCTGTGCAGATTAGTTATGGGTCACGAATTCTCTGTTTTCTCTTTTTTTTTTTTTGTTTCTCTTCTTTCTTTTGTTTTCCCGTTTTTTTTTTTTTTTCTCATTTTTCTTCTGTTTTTTCTCGTTTTTCTTTTTTAAGGAATACCTGCAGTGGCCCTAAGGGCTTCTACTCACCACATGCACAAAAGACAATCTTATGGCGGTGTATTATTCCACGTTCTAGCAGAAGATCCATTCTTTGTTTTTTGTTTTTTTTTTGAAAGCCCAAGGTGTTCTAGAGGCCAAGGACCAGACTCGTGGTGATTGCTGSTAGCAACAGGGATAGGCCACCTACCCTAMCCATCCCCAMGTTAATACTCCCAGCACACCSCCTGTCCCTACTATCCKACCTCASTGTGACCAGCACTCAGGACCATCACCCTACCAGTATTGAGGGCAATTTCGACCAGACAGCAGTGACAAGCACCAGGGGCATGGTCCCACTAGCAACYGRAWAGGATMAGGGTGGGGGTTGGGGAAAGGAAGGGTAAGCACGCCTGCTCAGGTGTCTGCTCTTATCAGCACCTCAAGCACCAGCTCAGGCAAAAAAAAAAAAAAAAAAAGAGTTTGTGTGGCAGTTGAGTGACCCAAATCCGGCTGGGAAGCACTCTGCGGTGACTTTCGGTGGGAGGTCTCTGTTTCGGTTTTTTTTTTTGTGGCCTTTCTCCTGTTTTCTCAGCCCATAAATCCGTAATAAACCTGTCTGGCCGCTGCCACTCAGTGTCACACTGGATCGGCCACGCTTCTATCGGACTGCTAATGGGACCACACCCCAGGGGCATGGTCCCATTAGCAGACTGATTGGAGTGTGGTCTATCCAGTGTAACACTGAGTAGCAGCGGTCTGACAGGTTCATTACGAGTTCATGGGCTGAGAAAACAGGAGAAAGGCAAAAAAAAAAAACAAAAAAACCAGAGACCTCCAACTGGAAATCACGGCAGAGTGCTTCCCAGCCATCAGATCACAAATGATCTGATGGTGGTGGTTACAACAACAGGGAGTCTACCCAGCAAGATTACCTAAGCCATGCAGGCCAAAAAATATGTTGTTTATGGTTTTGATTTTTTTTTAAATACACAATGTTATTAAAAAAAAAAAAAAAAAAAAATGTTGTACATCTTTGAAAAATCTACAACCCTATATTTTTTATTTTTTTTTTCTGTTTTTTTTTTAGCCCTTAAAAAATCTCTGTGAAACCCAAAAAAAAAAAGACTCTTGTCATTTCTTGCTTTTGTTTTTTCATTGTGCTTATGTTTTTGATTTTTTTAAACTATATTAAAAGCTCAAAAAATACAAATAAAAATATGGGGTCGTAGACCTCAAAAAGATCTACGACCCCATTTTTTATTTTTTTTTCCGATTATGTTTGGCCTAGGAAAAAAATCATTCCGGAACCCGTTTTTCCCCGTCCAACGCGCGTTCAAACGGGGATTGAACGCGAATTCAACGCGCGTTGAATTTTTTAACGCGAAACCCGCGTTAAATCCAATTTCGGATACACAGCTCAAACGGTAATCCCTTGGGACCTCTTCTCTCTGGATGCCTTCCCTTTCTTCCCGACCTTCCAAATCCCACGACCAGCACACTTCCGCTACCCATCCTCACGGTCTCCACCCAACCACTCCCTGGAGAATTGTAATATCCGCTCCCTGACATCTTTGGCGCTATGGAGGTTGTCGAGCGATTGCGTGGTAGACTTCCACCTGTGCGAGACCTCTAGTTGGAAGTGCGTTCTGAATTGTTCAACCCTCTCTTCCCCTTCTACCCGTACCTGATCCAAAGACAGGACACAACGCTGCCACCACAATACCCACAAGATCGTTCTACGGGATAGATGAAACATGTTAGACACAAAAATGTTGTCTTGGAAGGGTGGGTAATATCCCAAAAGGATGGCCCGCCAATCCCATGGCCATGAACACCCCGGAACCATTTGCTGCCACACCCTATCCCACCATCTCCAGGTCAAAATTGTTGTTGGGCATTGCAAGAAAATGTGTTCAATTGTCTCTGCCCTTTTCCTAGCCTGGAAGCCTGACTGACAGCGGGAGCACCAAGGGACCGCACAACCTTGTTGTTCCAGTCGTGAGTGATCAATAAGCCAGTCATTCGTAGGTAAGCATCAATGCAAGCTCTGCCATTGCAATGAGGTGATTTTCGCAGGTCTGCACTATCGCAGAACCATCGTATTGGTGTAAGGAGGTGCCTCTCTGTATTGAGGTGTTTCTGCCTTTTCTATCAATGACCGTATCCTTTAGACATCTCTTGACTCTGAGCATTCTATACGTTGCTTTCACCGAGAGTCCAAACAATGTTTTAGGCTTAGGCTGTCGCGCGTTTTGTCGTGAGTCGGGGCACCAACCCCACTCCAACGGATTTAACGGAAGATTTTCTAAGGCAATCTCAGGGAAGAAGGCTCGTCGTCCATCTCCTTCCCCAACTACCCTGGTTCTGTGTAATTCCTCCTTCCGAGTCCTTCAATGTCCATTTGAAGGGGTCCCGGCTCCCTACTAGACTTCCGTTTCCTTTTATGATGTACCACTCTACCAACGCCTCATCCGGCCGTACTAAGTGAACCAGTCCTACCTTAGCTGATTTCTCTTTTGTGGACACTCAGTCACCTTCTTTTAACTCCGGCCCTTTGTGAAGGATGGGTCACCATCCTACGGGAATGCCTCCGTTATTTCTTCCAACGCCGCCTCAACATTGTGGCAATATCTCAATTCACCTCTCAACCTCTCGTGGCCCTTGCAGTCCATCTTCTCCACTTGTATCAACCTACCGCAAGCCAAGACTGATATTGCTGAGATTCATGCTCGTATAGAGCTTGGTATTATGGAGAATTCAGGCGTTGCCAAGCATGACGGCGGAACATTCGAAGCGAGTGATGACGAAGATGAGCAATACGCGACATCTGCGGAAGACGGCCATAAGTGAGGAGGCGCCCCGAGCACGGTCGTTTTGTGGAATACTGCACGTCTTCTCCGTGACGACCGATTGGTTTCGCGCGATGATCAGAGTAAATTAGATTATGGCCTTTGCCTTGTTGTCACTCTTTTGATTATCAGTGGTCAGATCAGGTGGTGTTTGCAATTTAGGGATCTTCTTTGTAATCTTATTTTTTCCGGCTATGACTTTGTCAATTGCCCCGGCCCTGTGATCCATGCTCTTGTTTCTCCATGGTACAGATACGTTTATATCGGATGTACAGGTAGATCCCTACTGCTAAGATGGCGTGAACATTTTCGAGCAGTTACAAGAGTCTGGACGGATCGAAGAAATCGACTTCTATACAGATGGTTGGTGCGCTGTGGATCGGGTAGTTACGTAGCCATCCCGATATTCTGCCCTCCTGTCCGTGACATTCTTACGGTGGAAAAATTCTTTATTCGTCTGTTTTCTCCTAGTCCGAATTCGTTGCCACGAAAACTACGGAAGCCCCATAAGCCCTCACCGTCCCGGCATCTAAAAAGACGGCAGTTTTTTTTTTTTTTTTTTGGTTTTCTTGGTGTCCCGTGTCCGCCTTCCGTCCGTCAGGAATGGCCCTGCATGCCCCACCCACGAATACCCGGCACGAACTTCGAAAAAGTCCCGCCCCAACTGGGCAAGTGGGATGCAATTTCGCTCTTTGGGTCCGACCTGCCCAGGACCGAGCAACGCGGTTCTTTTTGGTTCTCCCCAAAAAGAGTAGTAGTCAGATCAGCCCCTTAATCTTCTCTGCATCTTTCCTATTTAAACGCACGTCCTGAAGGACCAAGCAGACATTTTGTGGATGGTGGGAGGAGGCTCTTTTTCTGTTATAGGGATATAGTACCGAAAGTAGTGTCTACCTTCTTCTTGCCGCATCTGGACAGCAAGTTGAGCCAAATACGGTCGTGATAAAGACTGTAGGGCTACCACACTTGGTAACTGTCAGGGGTTTAGAGGCTGCTATAGAGTGGTCTCTACCCCTGGGGCCAGGTCCTACTACAGTCTTCACCTGAATAGAACCCCTGGTCATTATGGCAGCCTGTATCTGGTTCGAAAGTTGGCCCAAATGCCTCTATGATGACCTGGAGGTACTAGCAAAGAGGGTTGGATTTATGTCTTTAATGTGGATGTGTGTGTGGAAAGGGGTGGGAAAGTGGGGATAGAACTGTTCTTCTGCATCTCTGCATAAAACCCATCCAGATTCAGGAGCTTAATTCAATCCTCTTTGTTGGTCGGACCTCGCCTCTGGGCCGAGGTCCCACTAGCAAAGAGGATCGGATCCAATGCCTGAATCGGGATGTGTTTTATGCAGAGATGCAGAAAAGCAGTTCAATCTAGGTTTCCTGCACCTGTTCACAAACACGTCCGAATTCAGGCATTCGATCCCATCCTCGTTGCTAGTGGGACCACTCCCCTGCTGACAGGAACAAATGGGGAGGCAAAAAAAAAACGCAAAAAAAAAAAAACAAAAACAAAAAACAAATGGGGAGGTAAGAAAGGAGTGGAAGAGTCTGTCTGCTGCATGAAGCCGGTGCGTGGGGAGACTATGAGGGCTTCAACTTCCCATGACATTGGGCCTCGCTACATGTGCAAAACGAGAGTGAATCTTCCCCTAGAACATGGAAAGATACACCACCATGATTTTTGCCTTTTGTGCATGTCCAGTGTAATGAAGAGAGGCCCACTATGTGGACCCGAAATGGCATCCTGAGACAGGGTTCAGTCATTGATTATCAGATTTCAGACGTCCATCTTTCGAATTGCTGACAAACAAGGAGGCCAGTTAAGCCCCTTGTGAGAGGGCAATAAACGATGTCCTCCCCTTGACGTTGGGCTCCTCTGTCCGGGGGCTAGGTCCCACTTACACGAATTAAGCCATATTGACGTCCATCTGTCGAATCAGTGCATTTGGACCTTGCCCCGGATTGTCCTTCCCTTGACGTTGGGCTCCTCTGTTCAAATCCGGACCCGTTTTCCAGCAGGTGCAGCTATGTACCAATAGCTAGGTGAGGGCCCAAAAAAAACAAACAACATTTTATTTTTATTATTATTATGATGATAAGGCCAGGTCATGCATGTAAACAAGCAACGATTTTAGGAAACGTACGGGCTACTACATGAGTGCCCAAATTCATCGGACTAGAAACGTTTGTACTCCTTGTTTTCCCCACGGCTGATAGCTGCGCCAAGTACTGGTGGTGGTACGAAAACAACAAAAAAAAGTATTCCTCTTTCTTGGTTTTTTTTTTTTTT